CATCTGTTTCTAAAGATGCTGATAGATCTTCAGAACCCCTTTGCCATTTCTGCTTGACGACTGGCTACTGGTTTCTTTGGCCAGTCCTTGTCTTCTAACTTCATCACTTCGATTGAAGGTAATATCTCCTCTTGGTTGGGAGTCTCCTGCTCTGTATCATTCTGCCAGGTTTCTCCCTGGAAAACTCAACTGAATATAATTTTTCTTGTGGCTACCCTTAGAATCAGCAGACTTGGAGCTGGAATTGTGCTATGAGATCACAGATCTGGAAGGGACCTTGGAGCTAATCTAATTCAATCCCCCCATCTAACAGATGAGGAACCTGAAGCCCAGAGAGCTTAAATGATTTCCCAACTATATAAGTAGCCAGACTAGAACCCAGATCCCTCTACTCTATTTCCAAAGCTGCTTTCCTATTCACCATGTCCAAGAAACCTCTTCATCTTAGAAGATTGCTTCAGCCCTGAAAATCACACCACAGAAGGGCTCCTGGGGCCCTTCCCTCTGAATGGAAGGTGAAGGGCTCTCAGAACTTCCATTTAACTTGGAGGCTACCCTGGCCAGCCAACTCTTCATTATCCAAAAGCTGTCCTCTGGACTGCTCCATCAGGGTCCCATACTGGAACCTCTTCTCTGCCCCCTTCCCTCTACCCCTTTTCAGTTTCCTTTTAATATGTCATCTTTCCTTTTGAAATGTAAGTTCCTTGAGGGCAGAGACTGCCTTTATTTCTGCTTGTGTTTGTATTCTCAGTACTAGGCTCAGTGCTTAGTAAGCACTTAGTAAATGCTTGTTTATTGAATGTAATAAAGAACAAAGAGTCCAGAGGGCCCTAGAAGAAGCATAGAATATCAGATTTGGGAGGGCCTCACATAACCAGACTTCTCAGTCTTATGCCAAATAGGGGAAGTGATTTGCCTGAGGCTACACAGGAAATAAATGTCAGAACCAGGATGCAGACCAAGTGGCCAGCTTCTATCATGCCAGCCTGCTTCCTTATTTTAATTCTTGCACATGGTCAACATTTTTCCCCTAGTGACATTCTTTGACTTTCAAAGTCTTCTGGTTAACCCACTCTAAGTAGGAGATCCTATACTCCTGGCAAACAGACACTGCAGTCATGACCAGTTGTGTTTTGAGTGTTATTGTACTTTCTACAGGAGGCTGAGAATTGCTTTCCCCTCAACTTTCCAAAGGAACTCTCCAACTATCTTTTGAAGACAGATTCTTCTCTTCTGAATCCACCTATCAGCTGGTATTTCCACACCCAAGCAGATGGGGCTAAATTCACTGAAAAAGTGAGATCAAACACCTGTCTTTTATGCTGGTTTCTAAACAACCTGTTTCCCTGGTCATATCAATTGTGGTCCTATCATGAAGACACACAGTTGCTTCAGCCAAGGGATCCAGGAGTTCAGTAGATTTATAGAAGGACCAGAATTCCCTCAGTTCAAATTTTGGGGAAGAAAGCACCCTCTCCTGCTTATAGTAGGACAACAGCATCAGGGAAATCCTGTTTCCTTTCAGAGGGAATAAAAACCAAGTCTGCTGAACTGATCTTAGATTTAAGATGCTCCCAGACTCCATTAATTTCTGTGCCTACAGGCCTCCCAAAAGTCTCTCTCTATATGTCTTTTTTTTCCCCCCGAAAGAAAGCCAAACTCAATTAGAAACCATGAAGGGAATATTGTCCAACATTCATTTTACTGTTAAGAAACTGAGTCACAGAGACATTAAGTGACTTGCCCATGGTCAATCAGTTACTAAGTGTCTGATGTTGGATCTGAACTCGTCTTCCTGACTCCATGAAGCTACACCATCAGCTCCTTGAACTTAAAGATTGTATAAAACTTTGAGATTTGCCAAATATATCACGTACATTATCTCCTTTGATCCTCACAGTAACCTTGATCATTACTGTCTCCAATTTATAATGACTTTCCAAGTGACACACAAGTAGTGAGAATCTGAGGTGGGATTCAACCCAGATCTTCCTGACTTCATGTCCAGTGCTTTCTTTATCTCCCATGTTAGTCTGTCTTACTTAGGTCCTTTTTATAAGCAGTATTATGTCTGTTCAAGTGACTACTTGCTGGGGTTGGTGTAGGTGTTGTAAAACAGTTGTGTCAAACTCAAATAAGAAGGGGGCCCCTAAACAGTACAAAAGGATCCCTGAAGTGGCGTATTGACTCAGAAAACCATATATTGACATTATCTGGGTTTTATTTTATCTTTATTTAATTTCTTAAAAATTTCCCCAATACATTTTCATCTAGTTTACACTGGAAAGTAGGCCATGTATTTGATACCTCTATTGTAAACAGCCTGTGTTCTTCCACAGGGGTTTAGACTAAATGCCCTTTGACTTCTGAGGTCCCTCCCAGTTCAGAAATACTATTCTTCTGCAGGCTAGAATTGCAGACTTCTTTTAAAGAAAATGGAAACAACTCTTTGGATCATCTAATTTTTTTAACTGAAGGGGGAACCGGGACCCCTAAACTAGAAGGGTACTTAGAGATACTCTGATCTATCCCCTTAATTTTTACAGATGAGGAAATTGAGTCTATGCTTTCACATGATCTCACAGGTGGGGAATCATAGGGTCATAAATTTAGAGCTGGAAGGGACCTTAGAGGTCAGTTATCTTCAACCCTCTCACTTTATTGATGAGAAAACTAAGGCCTAGTTAGGTTAACATACTGCCCAAGGTCACTGGGTAAGTGGTGAGGGACAAAACCAGGATTAGAACTCAAGTCCTGTGATTTCCAAATCCAGGGCCAGGTATGCTGCACCATACTGCTTCTCATGCTGGCATTAAAATCTAGGTCTCCTGATTTTTCAGGAATGTAAGGAGGCCAATGGCCTGTCTTCTGCCCTGTAGCAGGAATTAAATCCAAATAAACTTTCAGAAATGTGAATTGCTTTTTGCAATGGAGGGAAAATGTTGCCACCATCCCTCCTGCTTTATTGACACTCCCAGACTCCATTTATTTCCGTGCCTACAGGGAGCTCAGAAAGTCTGCCTTAGAATATCTTCCCTTTTTTCAAAAGAAAGCAAAACTCTAGTGGAAGCCCAGAGCTGGTGTGGGGTTATTTATTGTTGTTAATATTAGTGCTGGTTGTTAACACTGGGGCACAGAAAGGCTTGAATTCAGCCCCATAAAATATGGGCCAGACTACTGAGCCAGTTCCAAGGTCTGTCGCCCAGGGACAAGACTCAGGGACAGAGGCCAGGCACTTGATTTTCTCCATGCAGGTGCCCCTGGCCACAGCAGCCTCTTCCTTATTCCCAGGTGCTGTGTTAACAGCCTTCAAATGAAGGCAAATGAGGGCATCTGAGCAGCTGTCAAAGGAGCTAAGCTGAGAAGGGTTCAGTGATATGAACTTACTTGCTCAGGGGGTTTCATTCCAAATTTTGATCCCAGTTTCTTTGTTTCTATTCCTGACACCTCCACATGCCCTCTTCTCCATTCTTCCCCCTCCCCCACCCCCATTCCTTTATTCTTCCAGCTTGGAGGAGTTGCTTTGCCTTTCTTTATCTTTGGGTCTGCCGGTCCTCCCTAAGATTCCATCCTTGGCAGTGGCAGAAGCAGAGGCTAACATCTCCCTTTAACTCATTTGTATCTCCCAGTCCTGGCAATGACCTTCAGCGCACTCCCAGTGGAGGAGGAAGCTGGCACCGTGAGGGGAGAAGGTCATTCGGTAACCAGGGCCTCAGCAGAGCAGCCCTGGTCAATCAGGCCAGACCAGCACCCAGTGAGCTATTGTGATGTAAAGGTCTGTCCCTTTTCTGACTGCTGACGCTGGACTGTCAGAGACCAAAGCCCATTTCCTTCAAGAATTACTGGACATCGACTACTTTGTAGGTAGATGAGCTAACAGCTGGCATGGACATGGGCAAATTAATTGTAAAGAAGAAGGGAAAGGGAGACTTTTTAAAAATGCCAGCCCACACATATGGTTATTACAGAATTACAGAAGGGCTGGTAGAGCAGGAAAGGGCCTCAGAGTTCCAGACCAGCCCCCAAGAAAGGCAGTGACTTGTTCAAAGTCACATAGCTAGTGTGTGGAAGAACCAGGACTTCATCTTAGCTCTTGGGACCTCGAGTCTGGCACCTTTTCTATAATTCCATTACAATTATGGAAAATCACGGACTTCAGGGTCCTTGGAGACCATTTAGTCTGACCCACTCTGTCCACAGAGGATGTAACTGAAGCCCAGAGAAGGGGAGAGAGGAGCCCAGGGCTTGGCACGTAGTAGGCACTTAACAAAGGCTTGTTGGTTAATTGGTCACACTGATTTGGTGGTAGAACGAGGACAAAAACTATGGATTGTTTGGAGCAGACGACAGCTTGGTATCCTAATGGACAGAGTGATGGACTTGGGGCCAGGAGGACCTAAATTCATTTCAGGCCTCAGATACGTACTAGCTGTGTGACCCTGAATAAGTTACTTAACCTCTGCCTGCCTCGCATTTTTCAGCTGTAAAATGGGGATGATAAAACCACCTACTTTTCAGGGTTGTTATGAGGTTCAAATGAGATAACATTTGTCAAGTGTTTAGCACAGTGCCTGGTATATAGTAAGTACTTAATAAGTGCTTGTTTCCTTCCTTGCTTCCTTCCTTCCTCTCTCCTTTCTTCCTTCCCTTCCCTTCCATTCCCTTTACTCCCCTTCCTTTCCCCTCCCTTCATTCTTTCTTCCCTCCCTCCCTTCCTTCCTTCCTTCCTCCCTTCCTCCCTTCTTCTCCCTTTACTCCCTTCCTTCCTTCCTTCCTTCCTTCCTTCCTTCCTTCCTTCCTTCCTTCCTTCCTTCCTTCCTTCCTTCCTTCCTTCCTTCCTCCCTTCTCCCTTCCTCCCTTCTTCTCTCCTTTACTCCCTCCCTGCATCCCTTCCTTCCTCCCTCCCCCTTGTCTGCTCCTATGAGCCTCTGATTCTCTGCACAGTTTATAACACCCAGCCTAAGCTCTTTCCTTCCAGTACCACAATGGTCCCAACATACCTTGCAGGCCCATAACAGGAACCAGCCCCTCCATCCATTGTTCTTGCAGAAGACATTCTCTCACTTTCATCCCAACCCAACCCACCTGACTGTTTCTGCCGTGCCCTTCCCACCATGCTAACAACACGGAGCCCATAGCTAACAAGAGAGGCATTGTGGCATAGTGGACACAGCATGAGACTTGGGAGCCAGGAGAGCTTAGTTTGAATCTTGTCTCAGTCACTGTGTGATGTTGAGCAAGATGCTTAACCTCTCTGTGCCTCACTTTCCTCACCTATAAAAAATAGCACTTATTTCACAGACTTGTGAGAATTGAATGACATACCATATGTACAATGTTTCACAAACTTAAAGCACTAAATTGCTGTTGCTTAGTTATTTTTCAGTCATATCTGACTTTTCATGATCCCATTTGGGGTTTTCTTGGCAAAGATACTGGAGTGGCTTTCCATCTCTTTCTCCAGCTCTTTTATACAAATGAGGAAATTGAGGCAAAGAGGGTTAAGTGACTTGTTCAGGGTCACACAGTTAGTAAGCGTCTGAGGATGGATTTGAACTCAGGAAGAGGAGTCTTTCTGATTCTGGGACCAGTACTCTGCTAGCTATTATCGTTATTATTGTTATTGTTGTTGTTATTATTATTACTATAGAAGCTAGGTGATCCCACTGCTCAACCTGTAACAAGAGAATCAGGTTATACATGATAGAGACTGAGAATTCAGCTTTCACTCTGAGTGTGCCTTTCTGCAAAGAAGCCAGACATTTCCATCTCAGAATATTCCTCAGGGCAAAGACTGAGTGAGGAGGAGGAATGCAGGGGTTGTTTGCCACCAGGGCCAGGACCAGACATCAGTGAGCTTTAGGGCGTGGTTTGAACATTGCAACACCCCCCTCCCTCCCCCTGTAACTTTGCTAGAGGCTCTCAGATGTCACTGGAACACATGTCATTTGACTAACCACAAAATAAACACTTATGGGCCACAAAGAACGGTTTTTCAGCATTAAAAATATGTCCTTAGTGTTTCATGGTCACAGATGACCATGATCTCAGCAGGCCATCGGGCCCAAAGAGAACTGGGGGTGACCTTGTGGACAGAGCCCTTAGAAGTTATCACTAAAGCCAATGGGCAGCTCAAAACCCATCTTCCTAAGGGGGTGGAGTTTGTCACTTGGGGAGAATAGGGTTAATCATAGAATCAAAAGGGCTCAGAGATTACTGAACTCAAAGCCAGGAAGATCTGAGTTCAAATTCTGTCTCTGATACATGTTCCTACATAATCTCAGGTAAGTCACTTAACCCCAATCAATCTCTTTGTACAAGCCTTGAGACATGAGATGTAAATTATCTAAAGTTTTGGATTCCCCCCACTTTCGGGGGGCTGAAGAACCTGCCTGATCCTAGAAGACCAGCTGCTGAAATGGCATTTAACAGATCTGACACTGAGCCTGGTTGGGGTGGGGGGAGGTCACAAGACTCCTGAGCAGGAGGACCTTGTCAACATGGAACAGGTGTAAGCTCAATTTCCATCAGTAGTAAGTGGGGGCTCCAATCCATAACACACTCAGGCCATTCTCAGAATGGCAGACTTCTACATCTTAGCTCCTGGGTCCCCAGTGGAAGGGGAAGTCCCCATAACAATCCTTGTCTTTGTATCTGAAGACCTATAGAAAGGGTGTCCCAAAAGTCTTAGTTCCATTTTAAAATATGAAAACTGGCTATACACAAATCCTGTGATTTAGACAGTACCTTCTCGAGCTATGCCAAACTGAGCTTATTATAGACCTTGGAGGGACTTAAGGGATCAGCTTTCCCTCTACACCTGCTCCTCCTTCTGACTTGACTATTTCTATTGGTGACACCATATTTGTCCATCCTTCCATGGTCATAACCTTGGCATTATCTTTGACTGTTCCATCATTCTCACCTCGCAGGACCAAGCAGTTGCCAAATCCCATAGATTTCATTTCTTCCTCATCTCCTGCATCTGTCCTCTTCTCTCCCTTCCCATGCCTGCCACTGCGGTGAAGGCCCTCATTACCAGCCTCCTCTAAAGTACTATAAACCCCTCTTTGGAGGTCTTCCCACCTCCTAACTCTATATTCTGACTCTAAGCTGTTCTTTTTGACTTTCCAGAAGAACCCATTTTACTCTTCTGCTCAAAAATCTCTACTGATTCTCCATTGTTTACTCTGGGCTGAAAAGAAACTACAACCCCAGGTAACTATAACTCACAGGATTGCAGGATAAATGTTTTAATAGGCAAATGACAGAAATCAGGATCCTTGTTTTACTGAGCTTTCTAGAGTACATCCACAGAAGCTCCCTTCTCCCTTTCACTCAACAAAAATATGACTTCACTACATATTTATTGTGGCAGCTAGGTGTTGCAGTGGATAAGTGTTCAGCTTGGCGTCAGGGAAGACCTGAGTTCAAATCCAGAATCAGATACTTACTAGCTTTGTGACCCTGGGCAAGTCACTTAACCCTGTTTACCTCAGTTCCTCATCTGTAAAATGAGCTGGAGAAGGAAACGGCAAGCCACTCCAGGATCTCTGCTAAGAAAAACCCAATTGGGGTCATGAAGAGTCAGACGTGACTGAAACAACTGAACAACACATTAAGCATTCACAGTGAACACATCCCCATATTCGGACCAGGAACTGTTGGAGATACAAAATAGAGATGACCCCTTGGAGCTTAATATCAATCAATAAGGTACCATACTGTGAGCCTTAGAGGGTCCCTTAACTTTTCTGGGTCTCAGTATCCTCATCTGTAAAAATCTGGGGACTTGATGGGCTCTGTGGTTTCTTCCAGCTTTAGATGTATGATGATCTGAACTGGGTCTTCTTTCCCTTTAGTAGACTCGAAGCTCCAAGAGGGTGTCTAGGAGGGGCAGTGAATAGAGCCCTGAGCCTTGGAAAGAACTTAGATCAAATCTAGACTCAAACCCTTAATTAGCTGTGTGACTCTGGGCAGGGCATTCAACCTCTGTTTGCCTCAGTTTCCTTAGCTGTAAAATGAGGATAATAATAGCACCTATTTCCCAGGGTTGTTATAAAGATCAAATAAAATCATATTTCTAGCTTCCCACAGGGCCTGGTACATGGTTGCTGCCATATAAATGCTTATTCCCAGCCCCCTTGTGTCTTATTCAAACTGCATTTTCCTTAGTGCCTAACCTAGTGCTCTGGGGCCAGTAGGTGCTTGATAAAGTTGAAAGGAATTAGTTGTATTGATTGATCCCTACCGGACTGTGAGCTCTGTGAGGTTAGTGATGGGCTCTCGTAGAAAATGTATGTTCTGCATTGTCCGGTACACAGCGGGCACTCAGGAAATGCTTGAACGAATCATTTGTTGCATAAATGGCAGGGCACTTGTGATCCTTTGACGACACCTCCACAGTCAGGGCTTCTTCCACTCAATGCAGAAAGAGCTGCTTGCTTCCCTCGTGGCCCCACGTGGGGCTTGTGAAGTGACAGGTGCAGAGAATGAGATCCCCAGACCACTGCTGCTGCTTTTGCCGCTGCTGCTGTGGATGGGGAAATGATTAGGGCAGCACCCTGGCCCCAGAGGCAATTTCTTTGACACCCCCATCAGTCACCCTCAATCCGAAGGTCTGCAGCAGGCAGGAATCTCTCAGCTAAATGAACTCTCTCCTCTGGCAGTTGTGAGGGTCAGTGTGAGGCTTCAGTCTCTCATTAAGTGGGGAGCGTGGTACTGTAAGGAGTCATTTGGGTGCTGTAGCAGAAAACATTCTGTACACATGTGGTGAGGACTGGGATTCCTGAAACTGTGGGGGGATTGCTCCTGAGAATTCTCTCTCTCTCTCTCTCTCTCTCTCTCTCTCTCTCTCTCTCTCTCTCTCTCTCTCTCTCTCTCTCTCCCTCTCTCCCTCTCTGTCTCTCTCTCCCTCTCTCTCTCTCTCTCCCTCTCTCTCCCCTCTCCCCTCTCTGTCTCTCTCTCCTCTCTCTCTCTCTCTTCTCCTCTCTCTCCCTCTCTCTCTCTCCCTCTCTCTCCCTCTCTCTCTCTCTCTCTCTCTCTCTCTCTCTCTCTCTCTCTCTCTCTCTCTCTCTCTCTCTCTCTCTCTTCCTCTCGTTCTCCTCTGTCTCCTCTTTCTCTTTCTCTGTCTCTGTTTCTCTCTGTCTCTCTCTCCTCTTTCTCTCTGTCTGTCTCTGTGTCTCTGTTTCTGTCCCCTTCTCCCTCTCTTCCCTCTCTTTCTCCTCTCTGTCTCTCTCCTCTGTCTGTCACTGCTCTATCTCTGTCAATCTCTCCCTCTGTCTCAGTACTTTACAATCTCTTAGTCTTGATCTCCTTCTTTCTGTCTTCCCATCCATCTGTGCACTCTCCCTCTCTCTCCCTCTCTCTTCTCTCTCTCTCCCCCTCTCTCTCTCTCCTCTCCCTCTCTCTCTCTCTCTCTCCCTCTCTCTCCCTCTCTCTCTCTCTCTCTCTCTCTCTCTCTCTCTCTCTTTTTCTCTCTCTCCTCTCTCTCTCTCTCTCTCTCTCTCTCTCTCTCTCTTCTCTCTCTCTCTCTCTCTCTCTCTCTCTCTCTCTCTCTCTCTTCGCACCTCTGACCCTGCTCTATCTCCCCCACCTCTGACACTGCTCTATCTCTGCCTCTCTCTACTTCAGTCATGGCTTCCCTGTCTCCCTTTGTTGTTGTTCAGTTGTTTCAGTCCTGTTCAACCCTTCATGACCCCTCTTGGGGTTTTCTTGGCAGAGATACTTGGAATAGTTTGCCATTTCTTTCTCTAGCCCATTTTACAGCAGAGGAAACTGAATAAAACAACATTAAATCACTTGTTCTGTGTTACACAGCTAGTAAGTGTCTGAGGCCAGATTTGATGAGTCCTGACTCTAAGCCTGGCCCTCTGTCCACTGTGCCAACTAGCTGTCCCTGTCTCCCTTGGTCTAAGCTTAAACAGAGCTAAATGACTAGTTGGGTATGTTTTAGTGAAGATTCCTGTTGCAAATGGTACTATGGACAGAGCACTAGTTCCTGTGTTAGAGGATTGAGGTCCCAATGCTGACCTGATGCCTTACTACCTGTGAGACCATGGGCAAATCACTTCATCT